ATCGATCTTTCCACCAATATGTAGATAAAAGGCTATCTTTTACTGCTTAAATTCATTCTGCTTAAATCCTAATAGAAGTGATATTGCACAATATCTCAGTATATGCACCTATATTTTTCCAGGGGAGACCATTTTGTGGAGTCTGTGCGGATTTTTTGGTTATTGGGAGCTGCACTTCTTTCTCAGCCAAAGCCTTGACTGGAGATCTAGGGCTCTTACACAAAATCAATATCTAAGCTACTGTTTTGCATTTATACTTAAAACTGACACCAAATACTTTTCTGCAAAGTGTTTATGCTGTGAATTTCTAACAAGGAAAAATATGGCTGTATTTTCAGGTCAGATATTAAAGCTCAGACAGTGGTGACAGAGGTAGCCATCCCAGGTAAGCCTGTCATTAAGCAGCTTGAGTCTTCAGGTACCTCTGCTCAAAGCATTTCCTGAGTAGTGCCCTCCTGGCAAAACTCGAAAGTTTTCTTTGTTAACCCCTCTATCTTCTGAAGTGTTTTCCAGCCTCCTGGACAAACTGAATTCCCTCCCCACTTTTATAACACCAGATACATGAATAAAAACAAACCCAGATAACTTTCCAGTATGATAAAATATCATGAGACACAAACACCAAAGAGTTTATGCAAATGAAATCACAAAATCAAAATACAAAGTGAGCTGAAGTATTATAAAAAAAACTTAAAAGATCATGTCTACATGGTTCAAGGATAAATCACAGATTTAAACTGAGTATCCACTGAATTCAACTTAATTCAACAAACACTGATTCAGTGTCTCATTAGGGAGTGATTGGTGGGATGTCATGGGTAAGGTAGTATAAGAGATGAATGAAGCATAAACACTGCTTTCAGTAATCTCTGAGGACAGGATAATGGGGGGGGGAGTAGAAATACAACTAGTAAAATGGGATTCGTTTGTGAATAAAAGAATGAATTCATGAAGGATGAATACAAGGAACATCACAAGCTGGAAATGTACAGGAGGTAAAAAACCATAATGATGAAGAACACAAGTTCTGGAGGCAAATTGCCCAGAATTGTGCTTAGTTTCAACACTTTAAGCTGAGTGATCTTGGGAAAATTGCTTCTTTAAATATCAGTCTTATCTGAAAAATGGGTTTAATAATACTATCTATTTGATATTGTTATTGTGAAAAGTAAATCTGATAACATGTCTGCAACATTTAGCTCAGTACCTACCACAGAGTGCTTAATAGAAGGCAGCTATAAAATGCCAGCAGGGAGGCACAGAGCAAGTAGAAAAGATTGTAGAGGATTTTCCACAGTAGGATATTTCCTGGCAAATTTATCCTCCTGGGAATCAACAGAGATTTAGAAATGTCCTACTAACTTCAGGATTATGATAGTGGGAAGAGAGAAGGACACAAGATGGTCTCTTGGTGATACTCTCCACCCAATTATGTACAACAAAGACCCAAGAAACCAAGTGAAACAGATACAGATAATAATCCTGCAACTCTGGTAATGAAATTAAAGAATAATTAATTAGATTAAACAATGATGGGGAAAAAGGAACAGAATGAAAGTAGTGATCAAAGCAAGTGACCAACTGGAGACCTGACACAGTGTGGCCATTTTGAAAATCAGAAGCAATATACATGGGTAAGGAGAAACCAATGTCATGGTATTCCATAAGACAGAGGCACAGTATAAACAAATCCAGAGTGAAGTAAAGAGGCAGACATTTTGTTCTCAAAGTCACCTGCATCCCAACCCAATAAGCAAGTGCCACCACTCACTTCTGCACCACTGGATCAATTACACAGGGTTGACAAAACCTGCTTAGTCTGCCTGCAGCTCCTCTACAGGACCAGCAAATTGACACTAATGTCCACACTTTCACCTGTTACTATACCCATTTGGGGATAAGTGGGCAGTGTCCCAGTGCTGACAAACTAGCTACCAAAGTAGCACACTCATCTTGCCCACCTGGATATATCAAAATAAGGTAAAACAAAAAATCAGAGCCAAACAAACCAATGTAAAACAAAACAAAACAAAAAAATTTCTTGTAGACACAAGAAAACTTCAAATCAAACAAAGACACAGGAAAAGATGGTTCAAGCAAGTGATAAAAATAAAGAACCAACAATTCTCTCTAAAGAAGAAAAGCTAATGGAAATAGGAAAAACAATATACTGAATCCAATGTATAAATTGGGCAAAGGGAAAGAACCACATTATCATATCAATAGATGCAGAAAATACATTTGATAAAATCCAACACCCAGCACTGACAAAAATTATCAGCAAAATAGGTATAGAAGGTAAATTCCTCACCATACTCAGGAGCATATACAAAAAAACTAATGGCCAATATTGTTTTCAATAGAGAGAGACTGAAAACATTCCATTTGGAAACAGAAATTAGACAAGGATGCCCTCTGTCACCACTCCTATTTAATATTGTATTGGAAATAAATAATGTAAAGAAAGAGAATAAAAAGTATTCAAATTTGTAAGGAAGAAATAAAATTATCCCTATTTGTAGATGAAATGATCCTACACTTAGAAAATCTAAGAAACTCAGCAGAAAGCTACTAGAACTGAAAGAAACATTCTACAAAGTGCCAGGGTATAAGATCAATATAAAAAAATCAGTAATATTCTTCTACACTAACAAAAAGAACTCTGAAAAAGAAATAAAGAAGAAATGCTATTTATAATAGTTCTACAAAGAGAAAATATTTAGGAATAAACATGATCAGAGATATAATAGTTTTAAACAAAGAAAACTAAAAAAATATTACTATAGAAAACCAAAAAAGACCTATGGAAAAGCATACTATATTCATGGACAGGAAGAAACTGTCAAGGTTACCAAAACTATTGATAGATACAATGCAATCCTGATCCAGATTCTATCAATATTATTTTATGGGATGGAAAAAACTAACCATCAGCTTGATATGGAAAGATGAGAGACCATGGAGAAGCACAGCACTACTGAAGAAGATAAACAACGTAGGAGCACACTTCCTGATGTCAAAACCTTCTACACAGCCATAGTAGTCAAATCAGCTTGGTACTGATAATCAACAGTCACACAGACCAATGGAAGAGAATTGAGAACCCAGAAGTAAATCCATCCACCTATGAAGAGCTGCTTATCTCTTTCACAAATGCTGGAAAAATTTAATATTCATTTGTAAAAAAATGAAATAAGATTCATACAGCACACTCTATACAAAAACTAACTCAAGAAGGATTAAAGAACTAAATGTAAAACCTAAAATTATAATGATCCTGAAAAACTAGGGGCAAACTTAGGGCATTACATGGCATAAATACACAATAAAACATAAATAAAAATGCACAAACAGAACTAGATGACTGGGACCTCCTGAAAACTAAATGCATATGTTCAGTGAAAGATTTCTTCAAAAAAGTTGTAAGACAGTTTGCTGATTGGAAAAAAAAAAAAAAAATTGGCAACAACATATCTTACAAGAGACTAGTCTCCAAAAACCATAGAAAACTTCAACACCACCACAACAACAAAACAAACAATCTAAGTTGAAAATGGGCTGAGTACATGAACAGACTTTTCACCAAAGAAGAAATTCAGGCAGCCAACAAACACATGAGGAAAAGCTTGTGAACATTAGTCATTGTTGTTGTTGTTATCCAAGGTTGTGGGTAACAACCTGTGTGCTGCTGAGTCAGACCTGACTCATAGTGACCCCTCCTTGGGTTTCTGAGGCAGTTTCACTACAGAAGCAGATTGCTCAACCTTCCTTCCGAAGAGTCGCTGGTGGGTTTGAACCACCAGCCTTTTGGTTACCAGTCAAGTTCCTTAGGCACTATACTACCAGAGCCCTTCACTAGTCATTAGAAAGATGCAAATCAAAATGATGAGATATCATCTCACTCCAACATTAATAGCAAAGTTCAATAAAATAGAAAACAACAAATTTTGGTGAGGGTGTGGAGATATTGGAATTCTCAGACACTGCTGGTGGAACTGCAAAATGATACAATCACTGTGGGAAATTATGTGACACTTCCTTACAAAGATGGATAGAAATACCATTTGATCTAGCAATCTAACTACTAGGTGTATATACTAGAGAAACAAGAGCTGGTACAGGAATAGATATATGCACACCTACGCTTACCACAGCTTTATTCATTCACAATAGGTAAGGGGTGGAAATAACCTAAGTGCCCATCAACAGATGAATGAATAAACAAACTATAGAATATATACACAATGGAATATTATGCAACATTAAAGAATAATGAAGAATCTGTGAAGCACTCATAATGTGAATGAACCTGGAAGACATTTTGCTGAGTGAAATAAGACAATCACAGAAGGACAAATATTGTATGAGGTCACTATTATAAAAAGTCAAAGAAAGATTTATACGCAGAAAGAAACATTCTTTGTCAGTTACCAGAGATAGGAGACAGAGAAGCAAACTCACTAAGTAGATACTCAAGAAAACCAAATTCACTGCTATCGAGTGGATTAGATTCATAATAACCACTCCTTCTTTTTCTGAGGTGGTATCACTACAGAAGTAGTTTCCCCAGTCTTCCTTCCAAGGAGTGGCTGATGGGTTTGAACTGCCAGCCTTCTTGTTAGCAGTCAAATGTCTACCACCAGAGCTCTAAGGAGGTACTAGACATGTATTAATTTGGGTTAAGGGAAAGACAATTTATAATAAGGGGTGATCAGTACAATATGAGTATGCACAGAAAGGCACTGACAGCTAAATACTATTACTTAAGAGTATTTGCAAAGTAAATGATATTACAAACACAATAATGCAATATTAGTAATAATAACAAATAATCTATGAGTGTATATATAGACAGACATGGAAACTAATCACATATGGACAGGTAAATGGGACTACATCCATGACCTTATGTAGGTTTGGCAGAGGATATGTTGGCATATCTATTTTTATGTGCTGTAAATATATCCATGAATATGATAGAGCAAACAGGGGGCAAAGTTATGAACTTCTTAATCGTAAGCAAACATCCTTTAAGAGTGAGTCACTGGCCCCTCCTCCTAGCCTGCGCATGCGTCCCGTTCCCCAACGGGCCACAGTGGAACCCAGGGAGCCTGCAGCCTCAATACACAGTGAGGAGCCTGGACCGGGCCCTGGAGGAGGCGGGCAACTCCGGCATCCTGAGCCCAAGTGGCAGGAAACTCCGAGACTTCCCGGGTAGTGGCTACGACCTGACTGACACCACCCAAGCAGATCTTTCAAGAAATCGTTTTACAGAAATTCCTTCTGATGTCTGGTTATTTGCACCACTTGAGATACTAAATTTATATCATAATTGCATCAAAACCATTCCTGAAGCCATTAAAAACCTGCAGATGTTAACATACCTTAACATTAGTCGAAATCTTTTGTCAACACTGCCAAAATACCTGTTTGATCTCCCCCTTAAAGTTTTGGTTGTCAGTAATAATAAACTGGTATCCATTCCAGAAGAAATTGGGAAATTGAAAGATGTAATGGAATTGGATATTAGTTGCAATGAGATTCAGGTCCTTCCCCAACAAATGGGAAAATTACATTCACTTAGAGAGCTAAACATAAGAAGAAATAATCTTCACGTGTTGCCAGATGAATTAGCAGATCTTCCCTTAGTCAAGCAGGATTTCTCTTGTAACAAAGTGATGGAGATTCCAGTTTGTTACAGGAAGTTGCATCATTTACAAGTAATAATTTTGGATAACAATCCACTACAGGTACCACCAGCACAGATATGTTTAAAGGGTAAAGTGCACATATTTAAGTACCTAAATATCCAAGCATGTTGCAGAATGGATAAGAAACCAGATTCCCTGGATCTTCCATCACTGAGTAAGAGAATGCCCTCCCAACCTCTCACAGACAGTATGGAAGATTTTTATCCTAATAAAAACCATGGTCCTGACTCTGGAATTGGAAGTGATAATGGAGAGAAACGATTATCTACAACAGAACCATCAGATGATGACACAATCAGCCTTCACTCTCAAGTCTCAGAATCAAATAAAGAACAGACATCAAGAAATGACAGTCATTCAATAGGAAGTAAACCTGATTCTCAGAAAGACCAGGAGGTGTATGATTTTATTGACCCCAACACAGAAGATGTAATAGTTCCTGAAGAAGGAGATGTACATAATGAATCATTTGTATCTTTTCTTAAGGGAAAAGAAAAATGTCCTGAAAAGTCTCAGAAAAATGAAGAACTGGGAGATGAAAAAAGGAATAGCTGCAGGAAGGAAGGAACATCTATTGAATCCTTAGTGCTTTCATGTTTCTCATTTTAAATCCTGCAAGGTAGATATTGTCTCCATTTTTGCAGATGAGGAAGATGAAGCTTACAGACTCTAAGATTCTTGCCTGAACTCTTTCTGATCCCCAAACTCTTCTCTCTTCTCTACACTCTGAGTCAGAATTGACTTGACAACAACTGGTATTGATTTTATGATTTTTTCTAATTATTTCATTGGTAACTTCTTAAGCTGTCATTCATTAGTTAATCACCTCTGGTAACCTACAATAAAGTACATTACTTTGTCTTGTAAAAAAAAAAAAAAAAAAGAGTGAGTCACTGGACTTTAGGGCTTGGGGACGACAGTCTTACTGGACAGCTAAGTCAATTGGCATAACATAGTTCCCAAAGAAAACAGATTGAATAAGTATGGTGAAAGGATCCAACTTTGACACACATCTTTCCTGATTTCAAATCATGCAATATATCCTTTTCTGTTCAAACAACTTCCCCTTGGTCTATGTACAACTTTGGCATGAGCACAATTCCCATGTTCTGGAATTCCTATTTTCACCATAATTATTCAGTCTGAATGCTTAGCAATTAATCTGAAAAGCTGCACTACATGAAGAAGAATGTGACATCAGGATTGGAGGAAGATTTGTTAACAACCTATGATATGTAGATGACAGAATCCCACTTGCTGAAAGTGAAGAAGACTTGAAGTACTTATTGTTGAAATGAAGGACTACAGCCTTCAGTATGAATTACACCTCAATGTCAAGAAAACAAAAATTCTCTGAATCTGCTCAATAAGCAACATCATGATAAACAGAAAAAGCTGAAGTTGTTAAGGATTTCACTTTATTTGGATCCACAATCAATACCTACGGAAGCAGCAGTCAAGAAATCAAATGTCTTACTGTATTTGTAAATCTACAACAAAATATCTTTTTTAAGTGGTCAAAAAAGCAAAGATGTCAATTTGAAGACTAGGGTGTCCCTGACCCACAGAGCTCTGGTAGCATAGTGGCTAAGGCACTTGACTGCTAACCAGAAGGCTGGCGGTTGAAACCCACCAGCCACTCCTTGGAAGGAAGATGGGGCAATCTACTTCCGTAGTGATACTGCCTTGGAAACCCAAGAAGGGGTCGCTATGAGTCGAATCCGACTCGACGGCACATAACAGCAACATCAATTTATGCATTAAAAAGTTAGACAATAAATAAGGAAGACTGAAGAAGTATTGATGCATTTGAATTATGGTGTTAGCAAAGAAAACTGAATATATCATAGATTTCAGAACAACAGACAAATCTGTCTTGGAAATACAGTCAGAATGCTTCTTAGAAGAGTGAGTGGCAAGACTTTGTCTTACATACTTTAGACATGTTAATAACTAAACTGGAAGGACCAGTCTTTGGAGAAGGATATCATGTCTAGTAAAGTAGAGGGCCAGTGAAACAGAGGAAGACCCTCAATGAAATGAATTGACACATAGGTTGCAACAATGGGCTCAAACACAACAATGACTGTGATGATGGTGTAGAACGGGGCACTGTTTCATTCTGTTGTACACGGAGTCGCTGTGAGTCAGAACTGACTCAACTACATCTAACAACAGCAATTCTGTTTTGAAGATCTTTAAATAAAGGAGAGAGTGAGAAATAACAAGAAGGGGAAGGAGGAGATAAAAAAGAATTAGTAGGAGAGGAAAAGGAGAAGGAGTAGAGAGGAGAGAAGAAGGGGAGAGAAAAGGAGAGGAAAAGGAAAGGAAGGGGACCAAGGGAAGGGAAGGGAAGAGAAGGGAAGGAAGGGAAGGAAAGGGAAGAGAAAGGGAAGGACAGAGAGAGGAACTGAGACATAATTTCTATCTCCAGTAGAGGGTAATTGAATAGATGAGTGTTACACTGTATACCGTTGTCTCAAGGGTTCAAAGATTTAAGAAAAAAAAAAAAGAGATGCATAGCTAAGTAGTCAACTTCACCTTTTCTGGTTCATGAATGAGATGACTTGGCAACTTATTTGGATTCCTGGGGATTCTTTCCTTATTCTCTGAATTCCAAAAAGTAATGGCTTTAGCACTTGATAGCCCAATGCTTGAATCTCCGTCTTTCCATTCTTTGCTGTAGGACCTTGGATAAATTTCTGAACTTCTCTGAGTCTCAGTTTCTCCGTATGTAACAAAAGCTGATGAATAAGGGAACAAATTAATGTATCAGGTAGAATTTATACAAATATCTAGTATGATACTTGATATATAGTAGGCACTCGATGAATGGATTTTGTTATTATTCATGTTGTTATAGTTATCTAGTGCTGCTATAGCAGAAATACTAAAAGTGTATGGCTTTAGCAAACAGAAATTTATTCTTTCAGAATTTAGGAGGATATAAATCTGCAGGGTGTCTTCTCTAGAGGAAGGCGTTCTCTCTCTGTCAGCTCTGGGGGAAAGCCCCTGCTTCCAGTCTACATCTGTGGGCTTGGCATCCTTTGGAGACCTCAATGTTTCCTAGTATCAATCATCCATTGGGTCTGGGAAGTTCACAGCATAGAGACTCTGCATCTGAATGACATGTCCCACTCCTGGCTCTTCTTTCTTGGTGTTACTGCCCTCTCATTTGCTTGTTTCTCTCTCCTGTTATTTCTTGTAACACAAAAGGTGATGAAGGCCAAACCCCAGGGAAATTCCCCTTTCATCTGATCAGGGCTGTGACCTGATTAAAGGTGTTGTATCCACCTTAATTTTCTTACAATTGATTGCCTGATCATACCACATTACTTCATGGAGATAATTACATCATTACTTAAGTGCCAAATTACATTATTACCTACCTGCCAAACTACTGAGAATCATGGCCCAGACAAGTTAATGCATATTGTTTTGGGATGAGATTCAATCCATAACACCCACCAGTAGTTATTTTTGTTTCCAATGGCAATTCCACTATTATTATCCCACTTTTTGTATTTCTTGTTCCGTAATATATTATAAAATTTATGGAGAAAGGGATTTGGCAATAGTCTTCCTAGATACCTGGCTGATGCTGGTGCATAGTAAATGCTCCATAATTAACTGATGGAAAATTCTGTGATGATTGAAAGTATAAAGTTTAAATAGTAAATCACTGTTCACTTCTCTGGTACTAATAATTTTACCTAACATCTCATGGGCTACATAGAATTTACTGGAACATCACAGAATAGGAAAATAGAAAAGTTCAATCATGAATTGGATATGCAATCTCAAAACATTCCAGGTGTCCCTAACCCTGTGTATGTTGTCAGAAAATGGATAATGGATTATCTCTATAAAGAGGGAACATGCAGGAAAAGCCATTATTGTCATCCTTAACATGTTTTCCTGTGTTTATTTATTTGTTCAGATAAGGCCTCTTTCTTCTCATGTGATTAATACTGTCTGGATGGCAGTCACAAGGAAAGTCTCTTTCACCAGTGGGTTTCAACGTTTAGTTTGCATAGAAATTCCACAGGGAAATTCAGCAGATTCCGGGATTCTCACCCCAAAGATTCGTATTCAGAACTTCAACCCTGTTTTGTGTCTGCTAATATCCTGAGATTCCACCTAGGTCACCATCCCAGCCTTGGTCTGGTCCTATTCTCCACCCTTATCCCCTGCCCTAGGCTGAGATGTGAAAGTGGCTGTGCTCATTCTGCAACCACCTCAATCAATACTGTCACCTAATGAGCATTATTATCATCAGCAACATGGCCTTCTGAGCCAACAAATGATTGTCCTTTCTATTAGTTCTGCAAGCAGAGTCATGGTTCAGGAATTTGCTAATTACTGTTCCCTGTTGACTGATTATCCACATCCATTGTGTATACACTTGGAAACATCTAGCTTTTAAATCAATTTAAATCCCAAGGCCATAGCATTTATCTGAGTGGATACACGATATGTTAGTTAATATGCTGTTGCCACTGCCATCACCAACCTACTACCACTACCATAACTACTACCACTGCCACTACTACTACTACCACTAAATACCACTACCACTGATAACCATTGATTACCACTGATAATTGTAACAATAGATGCAATTATTGTCTCACATTAATTGTAGCAATAGATGCAATTATTGTCTCACTACAGAATGTGTCACATTCAAGAGCTATCATGGGGGCTTTAAAATTTCCGTTTGAGGTATATTGCTCCTGTATTGCAATTCAGAACCCTTAGCTCAAGAGATTAAGTAGAGTGCTCAAGGTCACAATGTTGGTTGACTGCAGAGCTAGGATCTAAATGAAATTCTATCTGATTTCAAAACCCCTACTTCTTCCACTAAGATTAAGAGAAAGAAAATGGTGTTATTTCATTATTTATACTATTTCAGTATTTACACTATTTCAGTATTAATTGTAGTATTTCAAACTTCTGTCTGGTGAGAGAAGAGCCAATTTTATGTTTTGAAGTTCAGAACTTAGAACAAGTTTTCTCATTTTTCAAAAATTTTAGATTCTTCTTATTCTTTTAGTCCAGAGATATGAAATAAGGTAGAATTTAGTCAATGTAAGGGAATATAAGCATCTTTAGTTACAGCTTGGGCTAGGGACTATGAATGAAGATATTTAAATACAAGAGATAAAACAACAACAAAAATATTCTAAAACACCATTTTTCCTCATAATTACTATTTCAAAGGCATACAATTTGCTGCACATATTTCAAGGTGCATTCCCAGAGGCACAGCTGGACCATTAGCCTGTCTGCAGAGGACAGCCTGAGAGCTGAAGGGAAATGTGTGAGGCGAGAAGCTGGGCAATCTTGGGCAGCAGGGAAACAACTTTTACTGCATTGCAGAGTCCAAGGAGCTGCTTTATGGAAAACAACAGCAGCGAATGTTAGCCAGGGCTCTGCTGGATAAATTTTGAAATGCAGCTGCAGTTCCAACACAGAGAGATGGCAGAAGTGCAGAAACAGCAGAAAGAACATTTATCTTTCTCTTTTAAGGCAGACATATCCTACATCTTTCTTACAAAAACAGCCCTCTATACAGAAAAGTTTGAGAGCTCTGATAGCATAGTGCC